CAATAACTGGTAAAAAATATGTGTCTGTGTGTGTGTGTGTGTGTGTGTGTGTGTGTGTGTGTAGTAGCAGCAGCAGCAAAGGGGTAAATAAAATTTGTATGAAATCTTAATTTCAGTTTTTGTGCTCAGTGGAAAAAACAAGGCTGAGATGTTTAAGTTTACCTCATGAGAGCAGTTCACATATTCTTAGCGAGAACACATTTAGCACTGGTTTTGACCATCTCAGCAGGTCCCACCATTGTCTGATATTACATTGTTTTAGAACAAATTAATATTCACAAGCACTTTTGTACCTGATTTAGTACCATTAAAGTGCAAATACTTCATTATCTTACTGTTAGCCAGAGTTCAGAGCTCAATTAAGAAAATTGTTACGACTTCAATTTTTAAACTAAGGATGAATACAGAATGTAATTTTTTCTGATGAGTCAGCTAAGACATTTTTTTATCCCAGCACCTGAGTGGCTCTCCACTTACTCTGTTTTCAGAGCTAAGCAGATTTAGAATGGTTAATTCTGGAAGACATTAATTTTCAGCCTCACATCCCTATTCACCATCAATATAAAAACACTGCTATTTTACTTAATAATATGGCTTGAACTTATGAATATGTATGAATGTATTTTGTATTTTGAAATGTATATTTGCAAGTGTATTCTGTATTTTAAAAAACAATTGAGATAGCCCACTTAATCTCTTCTGAAAAGATGAGATATGAAAGTATAATAAGACATTATGTATTATTCCATTTTAGGGTATGTAATGAACACTTATAAGTTGAAGAATTATACTGGCTATTGTATCTTGGCAGATTGAATTTACTGCTATATGAAAAATATCGTTTAATGCATTTTTTCTGTAAGATTATCTTGATAAAGTTTTGATAAGTATAAAACAAATGTGAAAACATTTTAGATGCTGTCATACCTAGAAAACTAAATCTAAACAGTTCATTGACTTTTGAGGCTTTTATTAATGTGTATTTTTCTGGTTCTGGTTTATCTTTCCCCAGTAAAAACATAGCTAATAATTTAAGAACATGAGTTACTATGTTTTTGTTGGGGGGAAAAAATTGTCAAGCATTTATATTGAGCCTTATAATAGAAGTTTGTGCAATTGTGTACTTCAGGACAATTATGAAGAAAGCATTATAAGATTCTGTAAATGTAAATTGCTAGTTCAGTAGTATTTTTTTATATTGTATGCAATAACATGGTTATGGACTAAGGTTAAAATTGAACCTTTAAATTCTTAAAAAGGCTTTGCTAGTCATAAGAGTTTAATATTACTGAGTATATAATTAAATTGAAGCACAAATTATTAGACCATATTTGATATTATTAATACTAACATTATTTAACATTTTCCCTCTGGTATACAAACTATGAATGACTCTGTTTTACTAAGAGTTGTATATTCTTAATGCAACCTATAAAAAACAAAATTGTCTCAAGTCTTCTGTTTTATTTTTTTTCTACAGGAGTACCAAAATCTGATCTCTTGCACACTGGATCGTTAAGGGGCCATAAAGACTGCTTTGAAAAATACCATTTGATTGTAAACCAGGATTGTCCTAGATCTAAGCTTTCAAAAAGTACTTATGAAGAAGTTAAAACCATTTTAAGTAAGAAGATAAACTGGATTGTACAATATGCACAAAATAAGGATGTGGATTCAGATTCTGAATGTTCTAAAAATCCCCAGCATCAGGTGTTTAATTTCAGGCCAAAGCCAGATAAAAAGTTACTCCCACAGTTTGACTCCCAAGTACCAAAGTATTCTGCACAGTGGATGGGTGGAGGTACAGGTGGCCTCTCACACTGTACACAAAGAATATTGGAGCAGAGGGAAAATACAGACTTTGAGCTTGCTGTGTTACAAGACTCAGGTGCCACTGTACGCCACAATAGTGTATTGTGGTCTCATAGTCACAACCAGGCACAGAAAAAAGAAGAGGCAATCTCTACTCCAGAGGCTAATGTCCAGACCCAGCATCCACATTATAGCAGAGAGGAATGTAAGTAAAATGGGGAGAAAGCTAAGCCTGAAGTTTTGTGGGGGGTTTTTTTGGGGGGGCGGTTACAGTTTTATATACGTCATGTCAAGAATTTTGCTGTTCAATTATAGGTTTGGTAAACAGAGTGTTTAAATGACAGGTTCACCCTAGAAAAAAATGAGATGTCTTAAAAACTCTCCACTAGTTCTTTGGAATACTCCTTAGTGTGTCCTAAGCATTGGAATTCTACAGCCCTATCATTTGTTTTGCCATTCTAAATTATTAAACTAAACAAAATCAAAGTGAATTGGGAAGTTCAGGGTTCTTATAGTTGAGAAATAAAGCTTCAACCATTTGCTCGCACACACATTGCCACATTGCTAATCCCTGCAAGACTAATTGACTGGGGGTGGCATTTCGGAAGCAAAAATCTGACATTTTACTAAAGGCCAAAGGTAATGTGTTATTTTAAAGTTGGAAAAGTGATTCATTCAGTCTGCATCTACAAAAACTCACAGAAGCTGAGATAATTTTAATTGACTTAAAAGCAAACGATTTTAGAACTAGACGGGACCATAGGTATATTTTTATACAACTTCTTGTTTCTGCATACAATTATCTAAAGTTATATAACTAGATAGACAAATTGATTTTTCAGACTATATCCAGAGTACTTTATAGTAGTAGTGCTTTTCAGACTGCGTATCATGAAGTATATGTAGTGTTTAAGCAAAATCGACTTGATGGATAGTGACTCACACATGTAAAAACTGGACCAAAATGGTTAATATCAGAATCCAGTGGACCTCTTCTGAAGTAGTATTTCTTGGTGAAACGTTTGTTTCTGGTGGAAGAGTACTGGGGGTGATGTAAAACCTGTTTCTTACTGTGGATTGAAGTTAGGATTTGAAAACTCCATAGTGCAGGAGTTAATGACTCCTAGGGTACTGCTCAATGTTATGCTGGCAGATGAGTACAAATATTTTTTTAAATAGATTGTTAGCAATGTAGGCAGCTTATTTTCCCAGGTTGTTGTGGTAATAATGAATATATTTTCATGTTTCAGTGAATTCGATGACTTTTGGTGAGGTAAAGCAACTGAATGCAAAGCTCCGACAGCAAATACAGGGTAAAGAATCAGTGTCCATGTTTTTTGCATGTGAAAATATGATACAGAAAACAGGATATCATTAGCTTCATCTGAATTTAAATTTGGAAGTGGGATTAGAACCTGTTGGAGTTTCCAGAGCAAAAAGAATAAGAAAACAACTTATTTATGTGCTGCAGGGGAAATAGGGTTTTTTAAAAGTGAAAATGGAAACTACAACTTAATCTCTATCTCCTTACTAACATTTTATTAACTCTCTACTATTGTGCCAGGTGAGCTCCCTAACAGTTCTTTAAGGCAGGTGTTAGGCCTGGCTTTTGTTTTGAAATTATGAGCAATTTCAAGCACAAACGTAGTGAATAATGTAGTGTACTCCTTGACCCATCTTCACCATCAGCTCTTATCAAAAGCATAGCTAATTTTCCTCCATCTCTGCTTGCTCTCATTCCCCTTCTCCCATCCGCCCCCAGCATGGATGATTTGAAACAAATCCCAGAAAACGTAACTGTTGTGTTCCAAAATATTTCAGGATTTTATCTAAAAGATAACTTTTTTTAAGGCAATCACCACCTCATTATCACATCTGGGGGAGGGAAACCCACGAAATGTGGTAACACCAACAGTTAACAGTATTCAAATAAATTCCCCTTTGTCTCCTTTTTTTTTTTTTTTTTTTTTACTATTGATTCCCATTTAAGTGAGGAAACTGCACTTAGGGGAGAGTGAGATTGCTTACAGAAGATCATGCATTCAATTAGTAACAGATTAAAGATTCTGACCCTTCCTGTCTTAACTCCAAAGCTAGTGGTCTTTCTTGGCCACACAGCCTCTCAGAATAATAAAATAATAAGAGTAATAGTAACTTACATTTATTAAGTACTTATTCTGTGGTAAGTCCTTTACAAGTATGATCTTATTTAATCCTCCCAGTAACCCTGTGAGTGTTACTCTCATCAAGGTTACACATAAGAGGAAATTAAAACAGTTTTTTACTTGCCTCAGACTTAATGAGTAGGAACAAGGACTAAATATTCCAGCTAGTCGGATTCCAAAGCTCCTTAGAGACATTTCCAGACCTGGGTACTATAATGGGCGCTAACTTTTCATAAGTCAGGTACTACTGACTTAACCTGTTTATATTTCAAAGTGATAAAAGTGTCTCAGACGTAGTTGTAACTGCCATGTCTGCTGTACTTCTGTAGAGTCATTGTTTATGACTCTCTTTGAAGTTTCACGTGATGGAGAAGAGGAGCTCTGAATTCCAGTTGGCCGTGCAAAGTGGTCAGCGTCCGAGGATGCTCAAAATACCTGTTTCCTTGGAGTCAAATTACTGTCATTGCAAACATGCACCCAGTGCCTTCAGTTAGGTACTTGAAATATAAATCACAGGATTAGCTTTCTCTGTACTAAAAACAGAACTGCTTTTTAAATCTTTACAGAAGTTTTTGAAGAGTTAACACACCAGGTGCAAGAAAAAGATTCTTTGGCCTCAGAGCTCCATGTCCGCCACGTTGCCATCGAACAGCTTCTCAAGAACTATTCCAAGTTACCTTGTTGGCAAGTGGGGCGGACAGGAGTGAAGTCACACCCACCCATAAACAACTGAACTCAGCTGGCACCCACTGCCCAGCCCCTGCCACTGGCTGACTGCTCTGCCAAGCACGCAGGCTCTGAAGAAGCAGAAGAAAGTTATGGTCCATTTTTTCATGGTCATTAAATTTGTAAAGCTTAAAGGCAGTATTAACATCTTTGTCAAATAAAGTGGATTGTTATACTCTAGTCTTCTAGGGTTCATCATTTTGATTTATTTTGGGAATCTGTTTCCCCTGTAATTACTAAATGGCACTCCCTAATTACCACACGTGACTACTTAAACATACTGTTACAGTGTGATTTTATTAAATGTGGTTTAATGTAATTCAACTTTCAAAACAATAGAAGGTTAACAAAGTCCTTAGTCTGAACTACTAAAGATAAATTTTAAGAGGGAAATGGAATTCATATCACCTCTTATTTATTATGAGCAATATTTTAATATGAAAATTTTATATATATATATATAAATGCTATTTTAGGTACCTTTCCATTCTCTTTATAAATGTGTGTTTGAATGGCTCTCTGTTATATTTACTCTTTCATGTGTGAATATGTTACCCATATTTCACATCACTGCATTTTATTCTCTTAATACACTGTTTTTACAACTCTTGTCTTGTTTTCCAAAGATAAATGTATTTTGGAGTAGAAATATAGGTGAATTGTCTGACTTCTAATAGCTCTTATGAAAGAGAAATTAATAACTTTTTAAAGCAAATATACAAGAAAATAAAATATTTTTTTTTCTATCAAGAGCAGTTCTGAGTTCATTCAGGAAGAAAATGCTAATCTAACTTTTGTATGTCAATTTATCTCCATAGAAGTAAAAGCCTCTTCTACTTCATGATTACTTTCATTCTAATTACTTTCATTCTAATGACTTTGATGTGTTAGAATTTGGGCAGAGTAAGTCAAGTCTCATTTCCAAGTCAAATGTAGTATCTGTCTTCAAATTGTGCTGTGAAATAATTGTCCCATCTTTGAAAAACATTAAAACTATTTTGTGTGCCACTTTGGATACAGGTTCAAGAATCCTTAAACTGTCCAAATTCTGTTATCAACCTCAGAAAGTATTGTGAGGTATTTTTCTAAACTTTAGAATCACAAGGGCAAGAGAAGACTGCTTGACAAAGAAAAACAAAACTAATTCAAAAAAAGCCCGTTTTGAAAAGGATAAAATCATATAAGTTGCCTGTGACATTTCCAAAGAGTTCTGAACTAACAGGTTGTCTCAAGCAACTACATAACTTTTTAATTAGTATAGTAAAAGCTATAATCAATGCAGAATTAAAATGGGCTCTAAATTCTGTTTTCAACTGGTGCTTAGAATGTATTTGTAATGTAAGATCCTTTGCTTGAAGGAAACTACAGAAAAGCACATAACTTGGCAGCTTCGTATATGAAGATAGGAATGACTTCTGTAAATTCGGCAGCCTGCCCCAGCTTGGGTCAGATTTTAATCTTGAACATAAATAGTATTTGACTAAGCAAAGAAACACCTCAAACTAATAGAAAACAACTTTTTTGTAATGCTAAGATGTATTAAATTTACTTGAGTGTATTACTTGATATCTCAATGATTTTTGTTGTTTTGAAGTATGACGTAACTGCTTTTTGGAGAGAGCTTTTGAAAGATGATTTCAATTTCTCTTGATTCTTTGAGTCATCCAAAATGAATTTAAACTCCAGGGTGTTGGGAGGCATTGCCTTAGTTTTTGATAAGCTTTAAACTGAATGTGTGCAATATCAAAATCGATACATTTACAAGGTGAATAGACACTCCAGAAGATGCTAGTATCTTAGTGCCTAGTTGTTGTGGTCACATTTTCAAAGTTGACTTGACTCTCTTTTGGCGTAATTCATTAAAAATGTCACCAGCCAGTTGCTTGCACACATTTCTGCGTCTGTTTAGGTCACTTAGGGACAGCCATAAATTTGGGGGCGTGTTGCGTTTGGTATCAATAGTAGCATATTCCAGAAGATGAGCCATATGGTGCAGCCCTGAAGACAACAATGTTACCCAAAGAAAGTATTTTCTTATTTCTTAAGGAATTTCTGGCAAATATGCAGCTTTACTAATGAGTCTGGAACAATTGGATGGGATTGTGCATGTACCAAGGTCTTAATCGGGGATTCTGATTTATTCTGTTTAGATATTTAAGCTCTTCAAAGGAAAGGTGCTTTGTATTAAAAATACCCGCGGTGCTGGTACTCACACTAGTACTTTATTTGGATAAATATTCTAGTAAAATAAATTTTTGTTGAAGTGTTTTGCACAACAGTTGATCCAAATATTTGATAAGCTTACTTTATATTCCAATGTTAGTTTTCTTGATTGAATGTACAATTATTGTATATACTAACATAGGGATGAGGGACAGAGTTGAGTTCTACCTTGAGAGAATATGAAATACTACAGATATTCGTTACCATACTTGGCTAGTCTGTACAGTTGTGAGCACTTTTTGAGGAAGTTTAGAAGAAAATCTCATATATACCTTCAGTTTTAAAAAGGGCAAGAGAGAGGCTGCTAATTAGCTATTACTAATATTTTCAGAGCTTATATGATTAAGGGAAATGAAATAGGACTAATATTTTTTTCACGTTAGATTTCATAATTAGGCAAGTTGAATTGAGTTTTAAAAAATCAGTTTGCAGTCAAAAGTGATTTTGACCATACAAGATTATTCTCTTTAAGATTAAAGTTTTCAAATCCATTTGGCCTTTTATCATCCTTTGATACTACTATTTAAAATCCTAATTTGTCTTCTTTTTTAAGGTATGCACTCAAGACACCAGTAATGAATGATGAAGGCAACAGAATTGTGTTTTGTCCCACTATGTGGTTTCTTATGCACAATGTTGGGGCAAAGAAATGTTCTTGAATCTTCAAATTATATGCTCATTTCACCACAAAGTGCCCATTTTTATATGCATTTGAGGATTATTTTTAAAATAGCAAGCTCATGTTGGAAAGTGATTTCAGAAATACAGTCAAAATATATTGTATTTTGTTGTTGGCATCTTGACAGGCATTTAGATATTTCTCGGGTTTCTCATTTTACCATATTCTTTCCCACTGAAAATGGTTTAAAGTGCTTTCTGGGGGTTTTTTTGTTTATATAATATTTTTACCTTGGTGTTTATACTCTTCAGTTTTGTCAGTCAATTTTTGCTAGTTTTTTATAATTAGTTGTTTTGGATCCATTTGTGTGTGTTAATATTTGCCAATTTGGGAAGAAATCTGCATTATTAATGTGTAAAATGTAATACAAAATGTATATGCTCTAAACTTAAGCAGGGACTTTTAAAAAATAAATGATTTGTGTAACTTAGTAGGAGGTTCAGGTTAGTGACCATAAAATTAGGTTACATGATGTGAAAACTTTTAAATGGTACAGAGTAATGTTATTTTTTCTGATTTATGCCAGTTTACTGATGTTATTGCTTATGCTAAAGTAAGATATTTGAGTATTTTTAAGTACTTACCACAAAGTTTAATACTCAACAAAACTCTTTAAATAGTTTTTGTTCAGATGGGGCTGTAAAGCAAAGATAATTGATTTCATTTCAATGTTTAATTGCATTTTTGACTTTAGGTTGGTGGAAATAAATCAGGAAATTGTGGTGAAAATCAGTACGAGAGAAAATTCAACAGGTTCCTCTTGCCAAATTAAGTTTTATGGTGTTAGGGTGGGAGAGAGTATTTACCTGAATAACAAGGTAATAGGGCTCTGGCACCAGTACGGGTTTCTTGGAGGAGGGCTATGATAGTGTTTGGAAGAAATAACAAGACTCTGTCGTACATCTCAGTATTTTCATTCACTTCATCCTTTCCTAACTGCCCTTGTTATCATGTAGTCTAAGGTATGTCACAATTTGGTCATATTGCTGTGAACACATCATAGCAAGTCATAGCAAGTCTCTAGCATTAAGATTTTTTTAGCATCTAGTTCATAACATACTTTTCCTATTCTTTCTAGTTTAAAAGAGTCCAGATTACTTAATACATTTTAGTCATGTTGAATAGTCATAATTTTGAGATTACCAGAGTGAAACAAATCATGGACGTGGGTATTGCTCTCCATCCTCCCCCCGCCCCGCCCCCAAAAAATGGTTAGTTGAACCTCCTCGCCTACACACAAAGCAAAGGGAATTTTAGTAATTGTTTCTTATTTCTTTCAAACGTGTAAATGTTTATTTCCATTCTACTACCTCCAAAAGATGCAGTTTAGAAAGTTCATTAGTTCTGTTAAAGCCATCCCTACTTTTACAATATGTGGGTTAACCTTGATATATATCAGTAGCTTATACTATGGTCATTGAAAATCATCTCTCTGGTGTTAGAAATTTATTTTACAAAATTGTGCTAAGACGTTCAGAAAAAGAAAATGCAACTGCAGTGGTGAAAAACAAGATAGTTTCAGAAGTTTATTTAGACATTGCTTGGCTGTTACACTTTTAAAACTGCAATAACTTACGTGTTTGTATTCTCCTTTGGAACTGTAATTACATATGCTTGTCTACTATTTTTAATTTTACAATAAAATAAATATTTTGTTTTCTGTTAGTTTCAATGGACATTTTTAATAGAACATTTTTTTTTTAATGGTTGACCTATGTGAAGGGTTTTGTTTTGCAGGCTTAAGGAGTTAGAATTACTATCCAATGGTTTTTGTCTTAATTTCTTGTGAGAATTCTTTCTTTGAAATTTAAGTAAATATTCTCTGTCCCAAGAGTCCAGAAGCAGGTAATAAGATTCCTGTGACTTGCTGGATGTCTGTGTAACTTCTTTAAATTGGGTTGTACTTGACATACGGTAAATACATAGATTTTAAGTGTGTTTGAGTTTTAACAAATATATTACAACTTTATACCCATCACCCCTTTGTGCTCCTTTCCAATCTCCTCACTCCCCCATTTCCCTTCCACCCACTATTCTGATCTCTGTCCTTAAAATTTGCATTTGCCTGCTCTAGAACTGCCTCTGGCTTTTTTCACTCAACTGGATGCTTTGAAATTCATATTAATGCAAGGAACAGAAGTCTGTCCACACCCCACCTTTTGTTTGTTTGTTTGTTTTTTGCTGACTAGTATTCTATTGTATGAATATATTGTAATTTGTTATTCATTCACCTGTCAATAGACTCAGTTGTTTCCAGTTTGGGGTTAATAGGACTAAAGCTGTTATGAATTTTTTTAATTTGGCTTTTAAAAGAATAATAAAAATATAAAAATACTCGAGATCACTTATGATTAGCATTATGAATCTGAATATTTATTAAATTACCATTTTTCCCAATGATTTTTAACACAACTTATATAATAATTTTGTGGTAAAAAAATTTAAACTAGGAAACAAAGACAGTTGTACAAAAGGTCAGAGACAGATTACCAGATAAGGAATGTTTGAGAATTGAAACATTTAATAGGGTGCTAAGAGACTCTTAATCGTTCTTAAAAGTCTCTTCACAAGTCTTAACAGTCTAAATCAGACCCCTCTGTTTTCCAGAAGAGGCAGTGATGGCCAAGAGTCTGGTTGGTGAAAGTATTGGAAAGAGCACCATACCACAAATGAAGTTCTGTTGAAAGTACTTTGTGACGTTAAGAAAAATCTGTCATTATTCTAAGCCTGAGCTTACTCAGCTAAACCAAACTACTGGTAAAACGTAAGCCTGCGGTTCACTGTATTATCTATCACCTTTGTTCCTGCCTCTGTTCCAAGCCTTGAGAATTTTGAAACTATTTGTAAAATGATTTGCTCTTCCTCCTTTGCAAAGGTCATTATAGGACCTGGAATTCTTTGCAGGTGTCTTGAGACAGGCAAGTAGGTGTGCATGTGCTGGGCAGGAGGAGGGAGAGATGCAGGCACAACACGCCCTATTTATATAACATGTTAGTGTTCTAAATTGTGAAAAGTTTTTAAAATGTTTTACTTTTAGAATCTGATCTAGATGTGATATCTTAGATCCCTTTATCTTGAAAAATTCTACATGATTTGCAAGTTTCTATCATTGGTTTTCTTTTTTTTTTTTTTTTTTGTGGTCAGCGTTGCTGCCCAGCACAGAATCCCATTCTAGCGCTCAGACAGCACAGACCACCTTCACCTCTAGAAAAATGTACAACCTCAAACTCCCTTGCATCTGGGGTACCCACCTTGACTGATGATGCAAGAAACTGGGTAGGAGAGATCCATGTTGATAGCAGCTGTGCCTGACTATCCGCAGAGGCAACTCCTGGTATCTGGTGTTGAGTAGCCATCGCTCTGTGTGATGTTGGCCATGAACCTAGTAGTTGATTGATCGCCTTAATTCCTACCTGGTTTCCAAGACTTCTGGGCAATCGCTGCCTATTGAATAAATTCCACTTTAGCCTAAGTTGACCACTTGCTTTCTCTAGTTTGCAACTGAGAACTCCATAACACCTCACGCCATCCACTGGGTCCGTGTCCATGTCCAGTGCTCTCCTATTTTGAGATCTTACCTGGTTTCTAAAATGGAACTGCTGGGAGCCACCGTGTGTCTAAACGATCCCTCAGGACCACATAGGCTGCCTGATGGGCCAACCAAAACTGATGGGAAGACTTGGAAAAGAAATTAGACCTTATGGTAACGCAAATGTCAACTTTCCTGTTAAAAGTTCATTGTCCACTGTCCACCACTAGTTACTAAAAGTGCTGTGTATCTACCAGGCTCCTGGAGGAGGTGGCCTGATAGGAACAGTCACAGTCATAACCTTAGCTCTGGTTTGGCCTGTGTTCTCCCTGGTGATACTCACTCCCAGCCCAGGAAGCATCTGTCCAGTGAAGGAGAGACTTCAGAGGCAGCATCAGAATTATGTGTCCTCTGAATGTAAGTCTCGGTAGCTACTCAGATGCCTAAGGCCTTCATCCAGTGGCTGAATACTACACATTCTCTCCACATAACCCACTCCCCACAGCGTCTCTACTTCAGGCCTTTGCTAAATCGCACCTGTTCTGTCTCCATTTCTCCTCCAAACCAGTGGCTTGCTGACTAAGGTTCATAAAACACACATCAGTGGGCTGCACCTCCAGAGTTTCTGAGTTAGTAGGTCAGAGGTGAGACCCAAGAGTTTTCATCTTAACAAATCCCCAGGTGATGCTGATGCCACTAGTCTGCATAGCACATTGAAACCACTGCTCCAAACCATCCAGTGCCCCAGAGTTTACTTCCCAAAAGATGAGACAATGCTACTGTCTCCTTAAAGACTATTCCAGATTACCACTGCCTACAGAGTAAAATTGGCCCTCACAGCTCAGCATTAAGAGCCTTCACCATTTGGCTACCACCTACTTTCCATGTTAATTCTTTTATCAAATTGGGATTTTATTATGTGCCAGGAACTCAACAAGCCCTGTTGATCAAAGAGAGGAAAAAAAATCCTTTGTCAACTGAAAGGATTTTGCCAAGATAGTAAATAAATAAGGATTGAAAATTGTCCATTGGATTTAGCACCTAGGAATTGAGTGAGAACAGTTTTAATGGACTTATGGGAGCAAAAATAGATCCCAATAAATTCAAAGTGTGGGTAGGGAGGTACAATAGTGGATTTGGGGTGTGAGCTCTAAAAAGTTTAACCATAAAGTGAAGTTGAAGTCAGAGAGGATGTGTTTCCAAGGTTGTTTTTTAAGTTGGAAAGTATCCGAACGTGAATAAATGCTGAGAGGACTGAAAGGCTAAAGAAGGAAAGGTAGAAATAATCAAAGGAGTAAAGTACTGAAGAGATGGAATAGGACAGCACATCTAGAATGATTTGTCTTCAATGCGACTTAGGACCACCTTGACACTGGAGAGGAGGTAAAACGAGATGAATGTACTTGAGGGAGATTGATTGGAGAGGAAGCTGAGAAGGGCCCTATCTGGCTGCTTCCGTTTTTCCATGAGCAGGAAGAAGATGATGAGGTCGCAGGCTCGAGGGAAGTGGTGAAGTGCTCAAGAGCTGCTTCCTGAGAAACGAGCGACATCTCAGCTACAACAGGAAGGGTTACAGGACTGTTTAGAAGAGGTGGACACGGCGGTGAACACAATGTGACATATAGATGATGTATTACAGAATTATACACCTGAAGCCTATGTAACTTTACTAACTATTGTCACCCCAATAAACTGCAAATTTTTTTATAAAGAAGAGGTGGAAACTGAGGTCCATGACTCACCACTGGCTGAATTTCTCTGAATTTGCATTCAGATTTTGTTGCTGTAAATATATACAGAGAAGGACTATTTTTGCAATTGGAGTAAACTAAACTGAGAGCACTACTGAAAACATTAGAATCTGAAACTTGGATAAATTTGTGGCTCGAAAAGAAAATGTAAAAAACTTTACCCAGTAGATAAAATCAAGTGTGTGTGTGTGGGGGGGGGGACTGAGAAATTTAACAAGCTACTACAAATATGTTGGGGGGGGAACAAATTCTGTAGCTTAAGAGTGGACTAGGACTCTTGAAGGCCAAGCCCTACAGGTCAGCTGGCATCAAACTTCAGCACAGAGAAAAGGTAAGTGTGTGGCCTAGATAAAAGGAGGTTTACACTCCACTCCTGGGCACTGCTTTGCTTCTCTTAGCTTCTCTGATCATCTGGAAAAAGTAGAATTGACCTCTGTGATCTTTAGGGGAATTCCAGCTCGAACACTCTATAAGGATAATGAATTCTGAGAAACCTGCGATGGAAAATCTCACCAGCCCCTGCATGAACAGCGGAGCTGAGCCCAAGGGACCTAAAGGAAATGTGGTTTCGTTTAAAAAGAAACTGTGAGGTGCTTTTGCAGCAAGCTATTTCTAAGATCATCTCTGACAAGAAAAAAGACTGCATAACCAACCTGGCTCATAAGCAGCTGTGCAATTCTTCACTGTTTGTAGAAAGACAAAAAAGAACTAGAAGCCTTGACACCTTATTCCTCTCCCGCATTCTTCTATCAGGGAGAAGTATTGGGGGAGAATTTTCTCTTAGAAATCACAGTGGGGAGGTTCGCCCACAGGAGCAGAAGTTGGGTCTCCTACAGGACCGCTCCAAAAGACTGGCTCAGATGTTTCCACCTGTGCCTGGAGAGGCTATAAAGGCTGCGTGGGAGGCGGTTATTCAGTCAATAGAACTGCCCTCTACTCTGATGTTCTCTCTATCCTGTCATGGGAGCGGAAAACTGTTCTTTCTTTCCTGAAGTGACAAAAGTAGATGATAACGTTTCATTTTTGTTTAATGTTTAGTTTTGAGGCCTTACTTGGTAAAACTTAAAACACAATCTTATGATCTTATGTTGGTGTATCAGGGTTCTCCAGAGAAACAAAGAAAGAAACAAAACCAATAAGAGGTGTGCGTGTGTGTGTGTGTATGTGTGTGTGTGTGTGTGTGTACATACACCAGGAGTGCCAAAAAAATGTATACAAGTGGACAATTTGGTAAACGTTGCTCAAGCAGTAGTTTGCCGTAATCAGAAATGTCTGGATGCTGATGGTAACCACTTTGAGCACCTCTTATAATTGCAGTAGTCAAATGTGACTTGTATTCATCTTTCGTTATTGGTATATATTGAGTGTTACAATTTTA